ATAGCCAGTGACAAGCACAGCTACACTGCATTACACTACTGACCCCAAGCAATGGTCTTAGCCTATCCTTAATTGTTTCTCTCAAATAACTAAAATAATGTTTGTTATTTTTAGGAATTTTGGAAAGCCTTAGGTTATTTTGTAGTTTAGTTTTCCAAAACCTATATCTACTGAAACCTGTTACCTACTAATATTCTAAATGTCATTTTAAGATATAGTTTATTGGAAGTTTCCCTGAACAATCACACTAGATTTTTTAAAGAACATTTTTCTAATTACAAAAGTAATGCGTATTCATGATAGATAATTGGAAAAATACAAATAAAATTCAAAAGCCGTTTATAATTTTTCCATTCAGATTATCATTGTTGGATATATTTCTTTTCTCTCGCTCTCTCACTCTCACTCTCTCCTCTCTTTATTTGTGTTTATTTAAAGTTTTTAAACAAAAGTCATATTATTAAGTTTTGTAACCTGATTTCTTCACTTAGTCATATTTCAAGATCATTTCCCAATAACATTATAAAATGTTCAAAATCATGATTTAATGGTGCATATTAAAATTTCATTCTATGAAAATACCATAATTTATAAAATTCATTCTTTTTAATTCATACCTTTGCATATATCTAATTAATATTCCTGGACATAAGTTTGGCAGATGCTTTAGTGAAAGGTGGTATCAATTGTAGAAATAAATGAGTACCCACCAAATGAAAAAATACAAGGCTGTTGATTCTGAGCCTGCTCTAGCAAGGAAGTCAGCCACCATCACTTGTGTTTGGGCAGCCACGAAGGCAGGCGGGAGTGGGAAAGCTTTATAGTGGAAAAATGGGAAGGTTTCAGGTGTGCCTGGGTTGGAGGCTGTTGGCATGGGGAAGCTGTAGGCACGCTAACTAGGAGAGAGGTATCCTGTATGATCGGTTAGGGGTACACATTTAGCTTTTTCAGGTTGGTCCTAAGTTGAAAGTGGGGATAAAGATTAGGGAAGCTCTTTGTTATATTAATTGAGTCCTGGGCACTTTGGTCTGATTGTTACAGAAGTTTTTGTTTAGCTTCCTGGAGTATTACTAGAGATAGCAGTCTGGCTTCCTTGGCTGGTGGTTGTAGATAAATTGTTTCCTGAGCAGTTTGCTGTAGATTGTTGGTCAGAGTTTGATTTTTATATACGGTCTGGCCATTATTTGTATATTCCATCTCACAATTTATATTCCCAAGAGTTATATATGAGATCTCTATACCCTCCTACCATCAATCATTAGATATTATCATTTTCTTTAAAACTTCATCAATTTATTTTGATGGGAAATAATATTTTACTTTTTGTTGTAATGTGTATTTCTTTGAATTTTGATAAGTCAATTTTTTCATAAATTTGCTCACCTTTTTAAATTATTTTCTGCATTTCTATTCTTGCTCTTTACTCATTTTCTGTTGGGAAATTGATCTTTTCTTTATTGACTTGAAAAAGAATATCCAGCAGACAGCTGGTTATTTAGTTTTGAAGCTAAGC